AAATACAAAAATTACCAGGCCGTGGTGGTGTGCATCTGTAGTCCTAGCTACTTGGGAGGCTAAGAAGACAGGTTCACTATTACTGATTTTTCCTTTTGCCTCAGGCTGCAATACGGCACTGCCTGTCATGGCCACAAATCATTTCACTGGAAGAATAGAAAAACGTTGACTATGAATGGCAGGGGGAGCTTCTTGAAGCTTGGGTAGGATGAGATCATTGTTAAATAATCCCTGAGGCAGTAACACCAAACTTGGAGCTATAGACATGCAATGGATGACAGGTGGGAGTGTGAGCAACAGAACGGGCCAAGGAGAGAGCTTTGTGCTTTTGAAGAAACTGACATGGCCAGTGCTGTCTAGACCTGTGGTTCTCAAACTTGGTGCATATTAGAATCACCTGGGAAGCTTTGAACAGTCTCAATATCCTGGCCCTGCCCCAGTCTAATTAAGTCAAAAATCTCTAGGTGTGGGGCTGAGGCGGGGCTAGTATTTAAAGCTCCTCAGGCATTTCTAAAGTGCACGCTAAGCCTGGGTGATGGAGTGAGACCCCTGTCTCTACAGAAGATTTAGGAATTAGCCAGATGTGGCAGTGTGCCTCTGTAGTCCCAGATATTCGGGAGGATCAGGTGGGAGGATTGCTTGAGCCCCGGGAAGTCAAGGCTGCAATGACTGTGATTGCACCGCTGCACTCCAGCCTGGGTGACAGAGTGAGACTTCATCTCCAATACATACATAATAAATAAAAATAAAAAATAAAGTATAGGCTGGGTGGAGACTCCATGGGTGGAGCTGAACAATGGCCTAGTGAGTGAGAGACAGAGAGAGAGTAGTGGGAGGTGAAACTGGGAAGAAAAGTAGAGCTTGATTGGGGGCCTTGAAGACCAGGGTAATTGTTTTGGACTTTTTTCAATTTTTTCCAAAAAAAAAAAAAAAAATGTGGGAGGTCATTGGGAGGGCTTGTTGCAGAAAAATGACGTAATTTTTTTTTTTTTTTTTTTTTTAAAGATTACTCTGGTCGATCTGGAGGGAAGGGATTGAGAGGGAGAGGGTCTGGAGGATGAGTTGGAAAGTTGTTGTGAAAATCTCGGTAAGCGATAGTTTGCCCTGGGCTGGGTTGATGGCACTAGAGGTGGAGAGACATAGACACGCTTAAGAAATAAGAGTAGAGTTCGTGGGATATGGTGATTGTTGGATTGTGAGGGGCTGGAGGGGAGGACACGTGATGGATGACTCTCCAGAGTCCAGCAGCAGCAACTGGGTGGGCGGTAAAGACATATAAGGACATAGATGGCAGAGAGAATGGGGATGAGCAGGTTGCAGGGGCAAGAAAGAGCTCGCATTCATTTCTGGATGCAGGAAGAGATGACAAAGGGAACTGCTGAGTGGACAATTGCATAATATGTGGGAATAAGGTTCTGGAGAGAAGGCCCAGGCTGGAGCTCTAAAGTGAGAATGGTTGTCCGATGTGGTTGGTCATAAATAAAGCCATAGGAGTGAGTGAGATTGCCTATAAAGAGAGAACCATGTGAGCGGGAGAGGAGATCTGGGATTCCCTGGAATTGCTGAATGAAGGGCAGGAAGCAGCGTGGAGGTTGGGAGCAGGCTGGGAGGTTGGAGGGCAATCCGTGGGGCCCAAAAAACTAAGGGCCACGTGGAGGGTGGAGACGTGACTGCCAGACGCTCAGAAGACAGAAAGATCTCCGTGGGCTGGCTGGGCTAGGAGGCAGCTAGTGAAAATAACTGGGCCTGGGTAGATAAATAGGACTTGGTTAGGCAGAGAAACTCCAGAGGAGAAAAGAAAAGGAGGAAGGGATAAGAGAAGGGAGAGAATGAGATGTGTTTGGAGCCATTAGTCATGTATAGATCATTGGGATTCAATAGAAATATGTATTATAAGAAAAGTTTAGCCAGTAAATGGTCACTTTGGGGATTGACTTTCTCTACTCTTTGTCTTGTCGTCTATTTTCCATCCCTCTGCCTTTCCTCTAGTCCAGCCTCTGTGGGAGTGCAAGCACAGCACTGGGCAGCTTTGCCCCTTGCCTTGCCACCCCACAGACATGTACTGCAATAAAAGCCTTTGCAATATTCGCGACCAACATGACTCAAGGTGAACATTGAGGATAGGGAGCTTTGCGATGCAGCAGAGTGCATTCATTTTAATATTGAATGGAGTGCTCGTTTCCTTCTCTCTGACTTACTCACCTCAAAGAGCCCAGCTGCAGTGTAATCAACATTCCATTTCTTTCCCAGTGCTCTCTTACACGCAGAAGCACAAATGAGCTTTTGCCTGAAAGGCAAAATGCTAGTGTTATTTTTCCTGAGTGGGCTCATAAATGCAGATTCGTTGGAGAGAGGTGTGTATAATCAGTACACCAGCCAGCATTTTGCATGTGCAACGAACAGATGTGGCTGCATTATTCAGTTTCCCAATTTGACTTCCCTACTTGAATATACTTAAGAAAATGTGGTGTCGATGAACACATCCCTGCAAGTGAAAATAATCCACCGGCAACAGAATTGGCAACCAGATTTGGACATGCCACCAGGAGTTTCAGATGTTCCAGTGAACTACTCCTCATGTTGGATGCTTGCTGAATTCTCTGCCCAAAATGTTACCATGTATTGTGGCACTTCAAGTTTTCTTACTAAAGATGATACAATTTCTAATTATATTGCTTGGGAAACTGTTACTTTTGAAACGTATCACATTTTAGTAGAAACATGTTTGTTGAACCCTGCCCTTTATTTTCACTTTTTTTTCCCCCCCCCGCATTGTGAAAGGTGATATTCATACGAAAAGTGCATGAAATGTGGATGGAATGGAACGGTTAAATCAGTGAATGTGTGTGTACCCACCACCTGGAGTAAGAAGTAGACTTTTGCGGGCACCTGGAACTGCAGGGTGCCCTTCTTCTTTCCTGAGATTATCACAGCCTCACTTTTTTTTTTTTTTTTTTTTGAGATGGAGTTTCGCTCTTCTTACCCAGGCTGGAGCGCAATGGCGCGATCTCGGCTCACCGCAACCTCCGCCTCCTGGGTTCAGGCAATTTTCCTGCCTCAGCCTCCAGAGTAGCTGGGATTACAGGCACGCACCACCATGCTCAGCTAATTTTTTGCATTTTTAGTAGAGACGGGTTTTCACCATGTTGACCAGGATGGTCTCGATCTCTTGACCTCGTGATCCATCCGCCTCGGCCTCCCAAAGTGTTGAGATTACAGGCTTGAGCCACCGCGCCCGGCTCGTTGTTTGTTTGTTTGTTTGTTTGTTTTTGAGACAGAGTCTCACTCCATTGCCAGGCGCCAGACTGGAGTGCAGTGGTGCAATCTGGGTTCACTGCAACTTCTGCCTCCTTGGGTTCAAGCAATTCTCCTGCCTCAGCCTCCCAAGTAGCTGGGACTACAGGCGCACACCACATGCCCAGCTAATTTTTGTATTTTTAGTAGAGATAGGGTTTCACCATATTGGCCAGGGTGGTCTTGATCTTTTGACCCCGTGATCCGCCCACCTCGACCTCCCAAAGTGCCGGGATTATAGGCGTGAGCCACCGTGCTCGGCCAGGTTCATCTTTCTTATGGCTATTTGACAGTCCGTTATCAAGACTATACCCCAGTTCATTTCTGCGTTGTACTGGCAGACATTTGGGCTGTTTCTGGTTGTGGTGGCCTTAAGGCTCACATACATGTCTCCTGGAATACATATGCATGGACTCTGTTGTGTATATAGCAAAGAGTGTTTTCTTGTTGTTTATTGAAAGTGATATTTTAAATTCCTTCTGGATTGTTAATGATAAAACCTGGCAATCCAATGCAAACATTTTATTGTAAACCTTAGTATTTTAGGCATAATGGAAAATATTGTTCATTTTAGTATCTATCAATTTTAGACACATTTTCATGCACATTCTCTAAAAGTGGGGACAAAGACTTTTGCAGGACAGAATGCTTCATTTGGAAACTTGGACCAGCTTTTCTTCCTATCCCTCCACCCCAAACTTTTTAGATTTCTAGGTCTTTCAAAGGGAAATAAAAGTGAATCATGCAAGTTAATCTTAAATTGATTAGTCAGAGGCAGACATCTTTCCAGGATTTTTGTTTTCACGAGCCCCCGTTTACCCTGCTTTGGTGAAGGGAACATGAATTATGGCCTGTATAGAGCTGAGCAGATGTGCATGTTAGGTTAGGTTGTTTAAGGTGCATAGCATGTTCCTCTCTCTGAATTATGTAAAACACATATCTAACTGATACCATGTTTAGTACCCATTGTCACCATGTGCTTTGTGATAGAATTTGGTGATCAAAACATTATCCTTTCACTTAGTGGACAGTTGGAAATTTGACATCTAACTCTCTCAGTCAGTTCAGGCTTCTATAGCGAATTACCATAGACTGGATGCCTTAAACAAGAAACATTTATTTCTTACTGTTCTGGAACCTAGGAAGTCCAAGATAAAGGTGGCAGCAGATTGGTAGTCTGGTGAGGGTCTACTTCCTGGTTTGCATATAATTGCCTTCTTGTATCTGCACATGTCTGAGAGTTCTGGTCCTTTATCCCCTATAAGGGCACTAATCCCATTTATGAGGGCTGCACCCTCATGACCTAAGCCCCTAGAGCCCCATCTCCAAATACCATCACACTGGGGATTAGATTTCAGTGTATGAATTTTGGGGTGACTCCAACCTTTAGTCCATAGCAAACTCTTTGAGATATTCCAAGTTTTTCTCTGACCTTTAGTTGCAAACATTAGTAAGAGATGATAATTATATTTATTTAATTTGTAATTTCATTATTAAAATGACCAACTCTCCAACTTTCACTAGCATCACTAGTAGTTTTAGTAGAATTGTACTTTTAGTGCTTGGTTCTGTGAAATGATTATATGATTTGTATGACTATTAGAATAATTAGAATTTTTCTTTTATGATCTATATTGTCTTAAAGGGTATGTATTTTGGTATATATAATTAGCGGTGATTAATTAGAGTTTGCTTTATTGGAACACTAGTTACCTAATAAAAAAGTATCTTTCCAGCATGGTTCAAAAACTGGTCGCATAAACTAGCAAGGAAATGTGGGAAACTTGACTTAATTATGAAAGACATTGTAAATTAGAGCAACAGTCCTAAAATGGCTCTTGCACTGGTACTGATTTGCATATATTAACATTTAACTAGAGATAAAATTGGGAAGTTTTTAGTTGTACTAATACTGGAAAATAATTATATCATAGTTTTTAAAAGCTCAGCTTGTGAGAGTGAAACATATCCCCCTTAAATCTAAATTTTATTTAAACTTTATGTGAGATTCTTTATGTAATTTTGGATTCTAAATAAGGTAGCCATTCCAGATAAGGAATAAGATTCATTTATTCTTTACACTGGGTCTTCATTAAATCTCATCTGATCTTTTGCTTTGATTTTTTAGACTTTAATTCACATTTCACGAAGATTTTCTCCTGGGTTGGGCGAAGTTGTAGATCATCTGTGTTTTCTGAACAAAATGTCATTCTGAATAGAAAACAGAAAGCAAACACAGCATTAAGTATTAGGTGGAGCTTATTGAAATGTTTCATCTTTTATCAAATTCTACTCAATTTATGTAGTGTCTTTTTTTTTTTTTTTTTTTTTTTTAAATGGGTTCTTTGTCACCAGGCGCCAGGCTGGAGTGCGGTGGAGCGATCTTGGCTCACTGCAACCTCCACCTCCCAGGTTCAAGCAATTCTTCTGCCTCAGCCTCCTGAGTAGCTGGGATTACAGGCGCATGCCACCATGCCCAGCTAATTTTTGTATTTTTAGTAGAGACAGGGTTTTGCCATGTTGGCCAGGATGGTCTCGATCTCTTGACCTCATGATCCACCTGCCTCGGCCTTTGCAAATATTTTTGTAACTTCAGAGAAAAACAAAACCCAAGACAGTGAAAGCAATCAGTATAAGGTAGCTCAAGCCTGTAATCCCAGCACTTTGGGAGGCCGAGGCGGGTGGATCACGAGGTCAAGAGATCTAGACCATCTTGGTCAACATGATGAAACCCCGTCTCTACTAAAAACACAAAAAATTAGCTGGGCATGGTGGTGCGTGCCTATAATCCCAGGTACTCAGGAGGCTGAGGCAGGAGAATTGCCTGAACCCAGGAGGCGGAGGTTGCGGTGAGCTGAGATCGCTCCATTGCACTCCAGCCTGGGTAATGAGCGAAACTCCGTCTCAAAAAAAAAAAAAAAAAAAAGACTTCTTGGGGTTCTGCCTGGGGTGATTTCAGTTCCGTAAGAATGAAAGGGGCCAGGTGCGGTGGCTCACGCCTGTAATCCCAGCCCTTTGGGAGGCTGAGGTGGGCTGATCATGAGGTCAGGAGTTCGAGACCAGCCTGACCAACCTGGTGAAACCCTATCTCTACTAAAAATACAAAAATTAGCCAGGTGTGTTGGCGTGCACCTGTAATCCCAGCTACTTGGGAGGCTGAGACAGGAGAATCATTTGAACCTGGAAGGTTCAAGGTTTGGAGAAGGTGGAGGTTGCAGTGAGCAGAGATCCACCACTGCACTCCAGCCTGGGTGACAAGAGTAAAACTCCATCTCCAAAAAAAAAAAAAAAAAAAAAAAAAAGAACAGCATTGACAAACTGGAGCTTGTCCAAGGAGGGAAGGCTGGGGAGGTAGGACTGGCTTGGGAGAAAGGGTTAAGGAATTAAAAATGTTTGCCCTGAAGTCAAGGCAAATGTGGTCAAGGAAACAATAGTCACCATCAAACCTCAAACCTTCCAGGAGCTGTCATAGGGGAGAACAAAGGAGGGCTGCCCCAGGACTTTCATTCCTTTTGTTTTTTCTTTTCTTTCTTACTTTTTTTTTTTTTTGAGTCTCACTCTGTCCCTCAGGCTGGAGTGCAGTGGTGAGATCTTGGCTCACTGCAACTTCCACCTCCTGTGGGTTCATGCGATTCTCCTGCTTCAGCTTCCTGTACCCCTAAGTATGGGTTTAATGCATGTATATGTTAATATCCAGCACTGCAACTCTGCTAGATTAGACTGAGAACATTCAGATTAATGGAACCAAAACTAATGGAAGAAGGAATTGTTGGAAACAGTACACTGCCAACGAATGGGTAATTAATCAGACAAACTCCAGTCAAATCTGGACTGGGACAATTCTGTTTTTTGTTTTGTTTTGTTTTTTTTTGAGACGGAGTTTCACTCTTGTTACCCAGGCTGGAGTGCAATGGCGCGATCTCGGCTCACCGCAACCTCCGCCTCCTGGATTCAAGCAATTCTCCTGCCTCAGCCTCCTGAGTAGCTGGGATTACAGGCACGCACCACCATGCCCAGCTAATTTTTGTATTTTTAGTAGAGACGGGGTTTCACCATGTTGACCAGGATGGTCTCGATCTCTTGACCTCGTGATCCACCCACCTCGGCCTCCCAAAGTGCTGGGATTACAGGCGTGAGCCACCGCGCCCGGCTGGACTGGGACAATTCTGAGCCATGTTCTCAAGCTGCATAACTTCTGTGAGCCGCCGGTTCCTACTCTGCACGGCCAATACTACCCATTTCAGGATCACAACAAAGATCACATGAGATCAATGCATGGAGCGCCTAGTTCAATGCCCACCACATGTGGGAGCCCTGAAAGCGCCAGGCCCCTCCCTCTCCTCATTTCTTCTTCAGTACCACATGGGTGTGCCCCGGAAGGCAGTGCCGTGCTTTAGACAACATGGGACTGGCAGGGTGAGCAGCCATCCAAACTGAGGAATTACTCTCCAGCTAAGGGCATGTGAGCAGGGTAGGAGCTCAGAAGCAGCATGGCTCTAATGGGCCAAAGAGTTGTGTGAGAAGAGCTCAGTGCAGAAGAGGAGTGAGCATTTAATCTTCCCAAATTGATCATGTTGGGAGATCTGTTGGCAGAAGGCAGAGTATGCTCTTACTAATTGCCAGGGAGATAAAATCTGAGAGTGTGATTGTATACGGGACTCAGGGGGCATCAATCTGCCACAGGCTGGCTCCTGGCAGTGAAACCCAAGGGGTGGTTCAGAGATTAGAAGCCTGCTGTTTTCCCCCTCTGTGAGGACAAGCCAAAGAGAAACATGGCGTTCGCAACTAGGGAAGATGGGAGAGGAGAGACCGTGTCCTGAATAGAGAAGGGAGTAGAGAGGAGAGGGCCTGTGGAAGCCCGGAATTCTGCCATAAACCACGGATGACAGAAAAGCACAGTCATTGTGGCAGGGTATGTTGGGCAGCCCTTTGCTCTGCTGGGAGGATTTCAGGAGCGCTGGATCAGCCTGTCTTTTCTCTTTTTTTTTCTCTCTCTCTTCTTTCTTTTTCTTTTCTTTTCTTTCTTTCTTCTTTCTTTCTCTTTTTCTTTCTTTCTTTTTTCTTTAAGACGGGGTTTCACCATGTTGGTCAGGCTGGTCTTGAACTCCTGACACCAGGTGATCTGCCCACCTTGGCCTCCAAAGTGCTTGGATTACAGGCGTGAGCCACCATGCCTGGCCTCTCTTTTTCTTTCTTTCTTTCTTCTTTCCTTCTTTCTTTCTTTCTCTTTCTTTCTTTCTTTCCTTCCTTCCCTCTTTCTCTCTTTCTCTCTCTCTCCTTCCTTCCTTCCTTCCTTTCTTCTTTCTTTTTTGAGACAGAGTCTTGCTCTGTCACCCAGGTTGGAGTGCAGTGGTGTGATCTCCACTCACTGCAACCTCAGTCTCCTGGGTTCAAACAATTCTTCTGCCTCAGCCTCCTGAGTAGCTGGGATTTATAGGCATAAGCCACCATATCCAGCTAATTTTTGTATTTTGGTAGGGATTAGTTTCACTGTGTTGGCTAAGCTGGTCTTAAAATCCTGACCTCAGCTGACTGGCCTGTCTCGGCCTCCCAAAGTACTGGGATTACAGGTGTGAGCCACCGTGCCCTGCCTCTTCCCTCCTTTTCTTTACTCCCCACCCCAACACCTTCTTATCCCTGGAGACTTGGGGCCCATGGGGGATGTTAAATCAAACACAGCAGCATTTCTTATCTCTTAGTGCTCTTATTCAACAACAGGCGTCCTGGATCCCTTCCCAAGACCACCATAAATTAGAAGCTATACAGGTTGGTGCAGGAATTCTGCAAATGTGTTAGGCTTCCCAGTAATTCTTTGGCAACTGACATTTAAAAGATACCACCACAGAGAGAAAGAGAGAGATGCATTGGGATTTTTGAGATTGTGATCTGTTAAAAGCAGTTCTTTGGGCAAAGAACAAAAAAGAGATGTTGCATCTACCACAGCACCTCGGACTGGCAGCGCTAACATCCCAGGGTGATTCACCTGCACCGAAGCTTGAGAAGCCTCAGGCTACCTTGGAGGTCCTCAGCCTCCAGGGGCGGGTAGCATCAGCCATGGGCAGTGGGGAGACGCTGGTGTGGGATCCAATGACCCGGGTGTGAATCCTTGTCCTTGCACCTATGGCTGTGTAAAGTTGGGATAGTCACTTCACCTTTCTGAGCTTCTCTACTGCCTCACTAGGGCATAATAATACTTCACATGAGAACGTGAGTATTCAGTTATGAAACTGCCTGGCATAAGTGGCCGCTTAATAGATATTAAAAGCAGATTGAAACAGCAGTCACCTTTGCTGGGTTTCTCCTGCTTTGACTCTGATCGTCTTCAGAAGGAGGCCCGAGTGGTGGGGCCTTGTGCCCCATGGGATGATGGTCTGGACCGTGTTCCACACATTGGCCCACACCGCGCTGCCTTCCCACTTGAACTTGATCATGATCAGCTCACCGATATCCACTTCCAGCGTGATAAGAAAGGAATACGTTTTATTACTAGCAATTCCTTTGTCCCTTGAATATACAAAGAAAATCAGACACAATCAGTTTAGTTGTAACAGCAAAGTGATGCTTACACACATTCAGGATGTGTTATGTTTGCTTGAGTGACTTGAGATTTTTGGTGCATTTCCCAAAGTGGTGTTCAATAGACTATTGTTAGAGCTAGCAATAGGTGTGCCAGGATAAAAAAGGGATTTCCAGATAATAAAATTGAGAAAACGGTACTATTTTCTGTTAACACATCAAAAAAATCTCTGAGAAGTCCTGCTATAACAAATCTAATTAACTTTCTTTAGCTTTGATTTTTTTTTTTTTTTTTTTTTTTTTTTTTTTGAGACGGAGTTTCGCTCCTGTTACCCGGGCTGGAGTGCAATGGCACGTTCTCGGCTCACTGCAACCTCTGCCCTCTGGGTTCAAGCAATTCTCCTGCCTCGCCTTTCTAGTAGCTGGGACTACAGGCACGTGCCACCATGCCCAGCTAATTTTTGTATTTTTAGTAGAGACGGGGTTTCACCACGTTGACCAGGATGGTCTTGATCTCTTGACCTCGTGATCTACCCGCCTTAGCTTCGATTCTAGGAAGAAGCCCCCATGGAGACAGAGGGGCTTCGGCAATGGCATCTGGACAGTTCAGCTTTCTGTAGGTTTAACACAGTCTGCCTCTCTCCCGAGTAATGCTCCTCCCCCCATATAAGTAGAAATCTCTATTAAAACAGTGAAGTATGACCGTAATAGAAAAACCACACGTAAAAAGGATGCGTCGATTTAGAGCAAGATTTAAATGCACACTCTGAGGTATCATTGTCAGCTTTACTCACTCATCTCCAAGACATTGAAATATCCCAACATTGACAGAGTGGTTAGATGCCCTTTCCACTACTGAGAACCATCTCCCAGGAGAGATTTTCGGCAGTGCAGAGGCAGCACTGGGTTTAGGGAGAGGCAGCTGGATGGAGGGGTCTCTTGTGTGGCTTGGCATAGCTCTTCCTGAGTGTGCTGTGAAGAACTGTTTAGGCATCCCCTGCCCTGCCAGGCTCTGAGCCTCCAGAAGCTGGGGTCCTCTGTATCCTTAGGTGGGTGTTGGACAGAGCACCAGCAAATGCTTCCTGACTGACTGAATCAGGGTGATGATCAGAGATCCAAAGCTGGGGGCAATCTTCGAGAAGCTCAGGACCATCCCTGAGTGGGCGAGGGGCTGGTGTCACTTCCCAGGGAGAGTCCATGCTGAGGGCTGAGAGGCCAGAGAGGCTGGGGAGCCTCAGAGTGAGCAGGTGGGTAACAGGGTGAAGGACAGATGGGGAGGCTGGCAGAGCAGGCTGATTGAAGTTGGAAATCTGTGCCAAGTCAAAAGATACCACTTTAATTTCTGGGTTATGAACTCACTGGAAAGGCTCTGGGGACCTTCTTGGGGACACCTGCTCTTCCCATCATCACTCGCCTCTGCACTGCAGGTCCTGGTGGGGCCACCTCTGGCTTCCCTGTCTGCTCAGCCCACAGTGTGTAACATTAAGCAGGTGGTGGGAGGGAAAAGTTAGGATAGACAGATATCAAAATGTTAACCACATTTTTTTGCTCCTAAATGGTGGTTTATCTTCTTGTGTTTCCTTCTCTGTCTTTCCTAAACATCTATACAGGACTTATATTGTGTAGAAGCTGAGGAGGGATGTGAGCGCCTGGGCTTGGGTGGATGTCCTGTCTGACCAGGCTGGCCATGTGGGATGAGCCGGGCTTACTAAAGGGGTTGTCTCTGAAGCACCAAATATCTATTTAAGTTTACAAGAAGAACCAAGACTAAGAGTTGATTCATGGACCAAGAGTTTTCTGCTTTAGGTAAGAGCCAGCTCAGGTAGTATCTGGCACCTACCACAGTGCCCTGTACGTGACTGGTGTTCAAAAGCTCAAGCCTGTGTAAACTATAAATTAAATTCTAAGCCCCTAAACCATCAAATGGACCCCTCCTCTCGGCCAAGGGCATTCCAAAGTTAACTTGAACAATGAGTTCAGGCCATGATGAGAAGATGGGGGACATGCCTCATTATACTGTCCTCCCGTTGGCATTCAGGCACAACTGACCAGCATTAACATTAAAACACAGATTTTAAGACTGATGAAGCAGACTTTTTGTAGCAATGAGACACCAAATTCCAGCCTGACTCCAGTATTAGCATCTCATGACAGACAGCAGGCCCTGGAAGAAATTAAACTATTTTACCCTAAAATATATTTCCTTGATATATTTTGAAAGGACCCTGAACAGCTGTCTCTTGGGGAGAAAATCTACATTCTGTAGAGAATACCCTTCCCTGTCCAGGTCTTTTCACTGATCCAGGAGAGAATTAACTAAGTCTGGGAACTTTTTAAGTCTGATAAGAAACATTTACAATGAATTCTCTCTGAAGCTGGCTACCTGAAGGCTTCATCTGAATAATAAGAACCTTGGTCTCCACAACCCCTTATCTTAATCAGACACTCCCTTCTATTGATTCTAGATCTATCGATAAACTCATTCAACCAATACCAATTAGAAAATCTTTGAACGTACCCAGGACCTGGAAGTTCCCCTGCACTCCCATCCCCAAACCACTTTGAGTTGTCCCACCTTTCTGGACCAAACCAGTGTACATCTTACAAGTATTGATTGGTGTCTCATGTCTTCCTAAAATGTATAAAACCAAGCCGTAGCCTGACTGTCTTGGATACAGGCCATTAGGACCTCCCGAGGCCGTGTCATGGGTTTGTCCTTAACCCTGGCAAAATAAACTAAATTGATTGAGACTTGTCTCAGATGCTTTTTGGTTTACACCTGGAATAAAGTAGCTGTGGCTGGCCTGATCTTTGAAAATTACAGAGTCCATTTATACTTGGCAAGAAATATAAGCGTGTCATTACCCTAGGGGGCTATACCTCCTACTCACAGAGTGATGGGAATTTTCTGCATTTTCTCTTTCGTTCCGAGTAGTGACATGGTAAAAGTTGTTTCCATTGGCTTCTCACGTTGGTTGATGAAATGGATCTTGAAGCTGTAATGATAAACTAGAGAGAGGGAGAGAGAAAGAGAGAGATAATTTAAGCAGAGATTTTAAATTTAAAAATCTCTTATTTCTTAAAATTTAAACATCTAGAGGGAAAAGTTTGGATTGCTAGATATCAAAATGTTAGCAACATTTTTTTTGCTCTTAAATAGTGGTTTATCGTCTCTGTATTTCCTAGATGTCTACACAGGACTTATATCGTGTTTGTAATGTAATTATGATAAATATTTGCCAACAAAAGAAGGCAGAATAGGGGTATAGGATAGCTGACACTCTCACTGATTTCTGGATGCAAGTTCTGTTGTAATATTTTATGTATTTGGTGAGGGTCTCCTTTCCTAAGTCAAAGAATATATGCCTTTTGGGCATTTGACAAGGCAAGAGAGAACACACTGCCATTTTACACTATTGCCTCTGTCTGATGTGTGTGTTTCAGGGTGGGGCAGAGGTCCAGCTAAGCAATATATGCCCTAATGACCAAGTGTTTATATCGTGGCAGTTCTTGGAAACAAGCTCTGTAAGGTTTAATGAGCACATTTCCTAATGGAAATAACTTCAGTTCTAGAACTTAGGCCTGAAAACTTTCTGTTTTATCAAATGTCCAGAATGTCCTCCTACTGATGGGTTGGTTGGAAACAGATAATTTTTTTTATTCTTCTTTACCTAATAAATTCTACATTTAGTTGTTGAAAGCAAATGGCTTACTATTAGACAGACATTGGTAAAAACATTGCATCATTAAATGTTAACTACATTGCATTATCTCATTTAGTTACCACAGCCCTGTGATGTAGGCATTGTTATTATCACTCCCATTTTATAAATAAGAAAACTGGAGCTCACATAGATGCAAGTGACTTCCTCAAGGTCAAATAGCAGCCTGCGTGCTTTTAGCATCCCTCACCCTAGGTGGTGTTGGCTTAGCTTGTGTGGTTGCATAGCTATGGAGCTGTTTTGAAAATTATCCTACCTCATTTCAAGATGACTGATTGCTGCTTGGACTTCTTTCTCTTGTCTCCATATTCTCCCCAGTGGATTCCCCAGGGTTGAATACAGGGTCCAACTTCCAGACCTGGATGTGTTTTTGTTTTTGTTTTGGGGTGGGGGTGGTTCAAACAGAGTCTCTCTGTAACTCAGGCTGGAGTGCTGTGGCACAATCTCAGCTCAGTGCAGCCTTGACCTCCTGGGTTCTTTCGTATCCATATTCTCTATAGCTCCAAGATTGCAAACGGGTTTAATATGGCATGTTAATTCCATTTGATTGATAATAACTGCCTGGAGCCCTGTGTTGAGATGGATTCTCAGGCCATGTCCAGGCTTGTGGCAAGATGAGTGTCTCCCTTGGGCAAAGGATAAGGGATTTATGGAATGCTTGCTATGTATTTGCCTGTCCTGTTTTGATTAATCCACGAATCCTAACAGTGCCTTTAATAAACTTTTGTGGGATGAATGAATTGATGGTTTGTCTGGGAGTGACATATCACAATGTGCATGATATGAACATCTAGATGGAAATCACCCGTGAGGATTCAAGATCTGAGTTTCAAGCTTCGTTGTTAAGAGAATTTTAAAAAATTAGATCATGGTAACTAGCTGGTTTACCATCCATCCCTTTTATCCAGCATGTTGAAATTCATCTCTTAATCAATCAATCTACTAACTCCCAAATGGTACCATTTCTGCTGGAGATTGGTATCCATACAGCAAGCCCAGCGAAGGGTATTGCCAATGCTGTTTTGCTAATTCACCAGCTCCAGTGTCCTGGTATACCTGCATTGCTGAGTTTCTGGATTAATTATGCAATCCTATTGTGTAATTAATTGGCATAAACTAATCTTCCCATTTGAATTTTGTGCTTAATTTACTCATGTGAGTGGGGATATCTCTTGGGTTTACTAAAGGGGTTATCTCTGAAGCACCAAATGTTTGCTTATGTTCACAACAAGAGCCAAATACTGAGTTGATTTGCAGGCCAAGAGCTTTTTGTGTTAGGTAAGAGCTAGCTCAGGTGTTATCTGGTACTTACTATAGTGCCCTACACATCATCAGTCCCCAACTGTTTGGCACCCGGGTTGGGTGTTGTTGAAAACAATTTTTCCACGGACCAGTGTGGGGTTAGGGGGTTGGTTTCTGGATGAAACTCTTCCGCCTCAGATCATCAGGCATCAGCTTTTCATAAGGAGCATGCAACCTAGATCCCTATCAGGTGCAATTCACAATAGGATTTTTTTTTTTTTTTTTGAGACAGAGTTTCGCTCTTGTTACCCAGGCTGGAGTGCAATGGCGCGATCTCGGCTCACCACAACCTCCGCCTCCTGGGTTCAGGCAATTCTCCTGCCTCAGCCTCCTCGGTAGCTGGGATTACAGGCACGCGCCACCATGCCCAGCTAATTTTTTTTTTGTATTTTTAGTAGAGACGGGGTTTCACCATGTTGGCCAGGATGGTCTCGATCTCTTGACCTCGTGATCCACCCGCCTCGGCCTCCCAAAGTGCTGGGATTACAGGCGTGAGCCACTGCGCCCGGCCCCAGAATAGGATTTTTACGCTCCGATGAGAATCTTAACGCCCACACTGCTCTGACAGGAGGCAGAGCTCAGGTGACATACTATTTGCTCAGCCCCCACTCACCTCTGGCTATGTGGCCCAGTTCCTATTGACCACAGTTTGTGGCCGGGTGTTAGGGACCAGTGCTGTAATACAATAGGCGCTCAAATCCCAAGCCTGAATAAAGTAATTTGATGCCCTCAAGACAACAAAAGAGGCTGTGGGGGAAAGAGAAGAAAAGAGCTGTAGGCACAAGTTCTGGGAAGGGTCCCTAAACTCTTGGGTGGCACCACTGGAGAAACGGACTTAGCCTGTCATCCCAGAAGCCTCTGGAGAGGTCTTACACTATCTAGGAGTTTGTCAAAGAAACCATAACAAGCAAACAGTGTTATAAGTCAAAAGGAGACAAGAAGGAAGGTGCTTTCCAAAGGCAGTTTCCAAAGAAAGAAGTTGCCATAGGTTCTTTCCAAAGGGTGGAAGGGGGTAAGACGTGGAGGGGCTGGCCTTGGGTCAACCTCCTTCTGAAGAGGCAGGACGTCTTCCAGAGAACTCAAGGAACACTCATAGTAACCGTTCTTCATTCAGTTTCATGTGATATGTATTAATTGGCGGTCTTCTGTGTGTTCAGCCTGGTGCTCAAAGCAGGTAAAAGCATGTAATTGGCAGTATGTGTGAGGTGCTTTGCATCTATCATCTCCCTTAACCTGCCAACAAATGATACTATTATTTTCTCATTTTAAGAAGAGGAACCCGAAGCACAGAGCAGTTAAGTGCCTTTTCTGGGGTCACAGACTAGTCAGTCGTGTATGGCTGGGACGTCAGCTCACGCAGCCTGACTCCAGAAACTTGAACTTTTACATGTTTATTCCCAGGACCACTAGCTTTATATACTCTAAGGAAAAAGTTGAATTGTGGAAAGAGATTTAAGTCAAAAAATGTCCTAATATTTGTTTAAAAATAAACTGAAAACACCTGAAATATTCAGTAATAGAGGGACGGCTATGAACTAATAACAGCAATTATGATAACTACCATTTAGTTCTTTACTATGTTCCACGCATGGAGCTATTAGTGTCACATAATTATCTCATTTCTCTTTACAACAACTGTATAAGGTGCCTGCTTTATCTTCCCGCCCACATCGTTTTACAAAGGAAGAAGCGGAGGCTCAGAAAAAGTAACTAGTCGTTGTCATGTGGCTAATAACTGATGAAGCTGCAATTAGAAGTCAGTCTGCCGATTTTCAGTTCATAGTCCCAAACATGTGATTTATGAAGCCATTAAAAGCTATTTTTGGAATGATTTCAATGCTTATGAAAGAAGTGAAAAAGAAAACAACAACAATGACAAAAAACCACAGATTATGAAATTGTCTAGTGTGAGGCCAACGCTACAAAACGGAATACACAGAAGGAGGGGAATTCACAAAAATATTAACAGTGCTCGTCTCTGGAGAGGGCACAGTGGCAACGTCATTCTCTTCTTTATGTTCCTGTGTAAGTTTCCTGTGTTCTGCAGGAAAGGTGTCTTCTAATTGGAATCCAGTCGGAAAAAGAAAGAGCTTTTACAAGTATTGAAAAAGAAAAAAGGCCAGGTGCGCTGGCCAAGGCCTGTAATCCCAGCACTTTGGGAGGCCGAGGTGCGTGGATCACGAGGTCAAGAGATCGAGATCATCCTGGCCAACATGGTGAAACCCCGTCTCTACTAAAAGTACAAAAAATTAGCCGGGCGTGGTGGTGCCTGGCTGTAGTCCCAGCTACTCGGGAGGCTGAGGCAGGAGAATTGCTTGAAATTGGAAATCAGAAGTTGCAGTGAGCCAGAATCGCGCCACTGCACTCCAGCCTGGCGATAGAGCGAGACTCTGTCTCAAAAAAAAAAAAAAAAAAAAAAAAAAAAGAAAGAAGAAAGAACTAGAAGCTGAGGTCTTTTGAGGACTCTGCCGTGTCTCGTGTCTCATGGGCATCTATGTCCGTGTCCTATCTCCCCAAAGGCAGTCACAGAGCCACACAACTGCTTGTATCTCCACAAGGACACAGCACACACTAGGCATCCAAGGAGTACTTAACAGGCTTGTTGAGTGAAGAACAGCATGGATATGTAACTGCATTAAAGAGACCAAGAATGATACAATAGCTTCCATTTGTTGAGATCCTACTTTGCGTCAAGCTACATACTAAGTGTTTTACACACATCGTTTTGGTCCTCATAACAGACTTAATCATGTTAACCTGCTGGGTACTGTCCGTCTACTCCCTCTACCCGTGCTGTCCTCATCCACTCTGCCCTCCACTGCTCAGCTCTGAGCCCCAGGATGGGATCCCTTAGGCTGCATCTGCCAGGCTCCGTTGTCGACTGGTTTCTGGTTGGGCGTGATAGCGGGAGAGAGAGGCATTAGTAGGAGATGAGGGCAGAAGAGAGAGAGAGGCCAGGGCATCATCCCTCTGCTGTCCTGTGCT